TCGTTTGTGTTTTGTATTTTGTTTTAGGTGCTTCCAACGCGCCCATCAACAACAACAGGCGTAGATGCAAATACAAACAAAAGAATTCATTATTTTACTGCTGTGCATTTAAATTTGATACAATACACGCCATTTCTACACACCTACGAGGCCCACCGACTACATATTCGCACTTTCATTTCGGACATGGTCCTTGCATTGTGTGTATGTCCTTTCGTGCCTTTTTCCCAGCCGCTCCCGGTTTGTTTTGTTTTTTTGAGTTTTGCATAAATTTTCGGCCCTTTCGTTCTGTTTGCTTTGACCTGGTTTTCCGCCAGGGCTTTTCCCACTTTTCCCACTTTCCCACCAGGCACGGCCAGTTTGTGTGTGCTTCCTTGCCTTTCCGTCTCCGTTCGCTCATCGCCGCTCTTGTGCGAGCATTTTTCGGCTCTCATTAAAATAGGTAAACAAAATCGCATAAAATTTCCTGATAGACAACAGATAAGAGTTAAAACTTTGCGCAAACTCCGGCGGAAAACTCTGTTCGGGCCAGTTTGGTTAGGCAAATGAAGTGTAATTCCCGACGAGAGCGCAGCCCCATAATGCTTTCACCGACTTACTGGGAGTTAAATGCTCAAGTGGCGCAATTACAGGTTAACTTTGGACTCGATAAGGGTTAAGTGTCCGCCATTACGTCAGCTTTGTTTATTATTTAAATGAATAACTCTTCAGTTTGAAAGGGCTTAGCAATTCATTGTTTTCAATTTTGTTGCAGGCAAGTGGAGGGGGAATAAATCCGAAACGTGTAGTATCTTACAGGAACCAAGTATACTTGTACATATACGTCCGAATTCATAGCAGAACAATTTTTACAATTTGTAAGTAAAACAAATGAGCCATTTAATTTTATTATGCCACTTTTTAAAGAAAACCAAAATTCAATCCAACAATTTTAAGCAAACCTACTGACTCATTCTTTGCCTAGCTATACTGTAATAGTTCGTATTTTTAAAAATATCAAGCAAACTGAAAACAACCAACTCAAATATTGATACAGAAGCCACACACAGTCACTTGTGATTCAGCTCGTCCAAAAAAGCCTAATGTGAAACTTTATATTGAAGTACTTTCCCCAAAAATATGAGTCATAAAATTAATTTTTATTATTATTAGAAAGCTTAGGTTTGCAATACATTATTTTTGAGGTAAATTAATATGTTTTCTAATATTTCGAAATTGTTTCTTCTATCTTTATTAGTATAAATTACGGTAGCAATAAAGCTAAAAGTAAAAATGAGGCTAAAATTACCACTAGTTTTTGTTGCTCATTTTAAAAGAGCTATATTTCTGTCAATGAATTGTATAATTTACTTTTATTATACTGCAGTGAAATTTATTTGCTTGCAACGACTATTGCTTAACAGCTAAATACAATTTGCTTTACTAAATAAACTAACTTTGAACTCCGCTTGGGGCTCTTAAAGAAATTCCTGTCGTATTTCTTTTATCAGCTGATACCAAACCACTTTTCCTGCACAAAAAATAACCCAAACCGAACCGAAGGGAATTAGTTGCTCTAAACTTATAGATAGACCTGTGCCAGCCACATTTCTTTACATTCCCTCTAGGTAAGCCCGGATTTTACGAGCATTCCTATAATTTCTGCCCGAATATGCAACGCCTTTCGGCGTCCAGCTCACAGCGCTTTTGTTTGGAGTCCTTAAAGCATTCACTTGGGAATCCTAAATCAGCCTTACTACCATAAAACGTCCATACTCATTCCGATTCCTATTCTGAGTCCGATTCCTTCCGTTGCCCTGGGCACTGCAAGCTCACTAGGTCAACACAAATCAGCATAAGCCACACAACTCCACATCGGACAATAACATTTTTATGTGTTAAGCTTTATGACAAAAGGCCAACACAAATGCGCACAAGGAGCAAGTGCAAGGGAAACCCTCAGTGCGTGAAAGTTGCTGCAAGTTGGCATAGAAAGTTTACCGATTTGTTTTGGCCGTAATAAATTCGGACAGCTGTAAGCATGCAACAAATGGGGAATAAGCAAAACAAACGGTCTCGGCCATTGCAATAGTTCAAAGGAAAAGTCAAGGACCCACGGACGGCACTTCGTCCTTTTTTCTGCGTTTCCGAGCAGCCAAGGATCAATCTTTTTCCGCAGCTGCTCCACATGTTTCTCGTGCTGCGAGTGCCACTGTCAAAAATGTCGAGCTTGTGTAAACGAGCAAACAGCGAAGTGGGCGTCGGGATGTTCAGCTATCTGCCAGACTCTCGCAGTTAACCCGTTATTTGCCCAGGATCTGGCGAAATCCTGCGACATCTAAGCCTTCTAAAGTGAATAGACCGCCTAGAACCGTCAACAGCTTAGGAAAACCCATGCTGCAGGTCCTCAAATTAATAGTAGGCAAAGGAAACTTTGATAAGGAATAGTTGTAGAATTTGGTACATTTTCTAGCACAATAAAAATTAGGCAACATGGGTTAAGAGCATTCCATTCCATTCCGCATCAACTTAAAAATACGTTTTGTGCGTGTTGCTCTGGCTGCACTTGTTTTGTTTTCCTTGGCATGTTTTTATTTCGTTAATTTTGTTGTTGAGGCATCTGTTGCCTGCCTTCTGTTTTTCCTGTATCCGTATTTGCATTTGCGTTTGTGTTTGTGTTGGCTTGTTTGCCCTAGCCCCTGCCAAGTAAAATAATTTTAAATGTAATTCTCGGATGCGCCTACCACTCGGGCATGCAGCGCTTGGGATGCGATGGCCCACTTCAGAGTGGAGTGTTACTTTTGGCAAATGTCAGAGTGCCTCTACACACACTCCAGATCCATGAACCCCTAAGCTCCCTGCCCCTCAGCTACGAGTGCACATCTCCTGTTGGCAGGACATGCATAAATATTATAAAACGTGCTGCTGCCGCAGATAGGTAAGTGCAGATGCCGGCTGTCTGGCCAAAATGCTTAGCCCGGCCCTTGCAAATAAGCCACTTGCCGATTGTCTGTCCTCGGGCCTATCTGTGTGGTGGAGCTTGGTCCCGGTTTTTGGCGTGCTCTTTGGCTTGTTGTAAGGAGCTTTCATGCCGGGCTAACTGGCTTGAACCACTCTGTGCAGCAGGCAGGCCGTAAACTTCGGCCAAATGCTGGTAGAAGTCTGCCCATTCATTTTTATTTTGATTTGGCAAATTTTATTGCATATTGCCTTCCCCGAATGTAATCATTTTCGAGATTCGTCTTCTATTTCCCTTTGTTCAATTGGCTTGGGGAATATTTTCACTCATTTGTGTGGCCGATAACCCTATGCGTTCGCCTGAGACTTTTAATTGAAAAATGTCCATAAGAACACATTAAAAATGACGAAACAAATACACGGACTCCTTGACCAGTGGGTGGCTGAGCTCAAAGCAATTAACTGCCAGTTAAATGCAATTAAGTGCAGCACGCAGAAGGATTCCATGAATATATTACGCCCGCCACAGCCGATTTAATCGGTACAAGGCGATAAACATTAAAGAAACCCGTGCTCGCTTTCCGCTTAAGCCGGGATTTGTCATATGCAGAGTCAAATACTTAATTAACTTGCTGTTCCATACGCACTTTTCGAGGAGGTGGCAGGTGGCAGGTGGCAGGTTGCAGGTGGAGCAATCCGTGCGGCAATCGCGATAAGTGCAACCACAATCGGGTGGCAATCTGGAGCAGTCGCAAAGTCCACAAACAATGTGCGGACTTACAAGTTGAATAGAGTCATATACACGCACTCCCGTTGGCCAAGATGCCAATACACATAATTGTAAGGATGTTTATGTATGTACGTATTATGGAGGCCACGGCTCAGGACAGAGGACTGTGTGGCCGAATACACCATTAATTTTTAATATCTATTTAACATTTCAATCAGCGGAATCGCAGCGCCCGCCGCTCGATTCGTATACAAAATTTAATTAATATTTAATTTTTCATTTATTGTATTTCTGTGTTTTGCCTGCAATTTTCATGACGCATCGCGCAGCGCTAATAAAATTAAATGGCCCAAACGGCACAGGACCGTACCACACACACAGATACTCCGGCACTCACACACTCTCACACAGGCACACTCGACCGAATCAGTTGCGCTTTTGCTTCTTTTCTCGTTTGGCTTGGCTGCTTGTTTTGTGGGTTCCACGCGCCGCGTTTTGCTCCTCCAGCGGATTGGATTTTTGGACTTTCGCGTATCCTTGAGCAGAACACCGTAGCGCCACGTTCCGACACGAATACGAAACTGAGCCACGGCATTGGCAAAAACGCTGCCGAACACCAAAATATCCTTTGGCTCGGTCGATTCCATCTCGGGGACTTTTGGGCTCGTCACGCGAAGAGTTCCTTCGGAGGAGCAACCTCGTTTTCACTCAATTACCGAATGAAAGTAAGAATGGCCCGAGCTCGGCAAAGAGAGTGTCTCGGCAGTTTGAGTTTGTTTTGGTTTAAATTGCATTAAGGCACTGCCAAAGTGGGCCTATCCCAAGCTCGTTTGCGTTCTAGTCCTGCCTGCAGGATGATTTCAAATAAAAGCCAGCTTAGCCTTGTTTAAACGAAGTAAAGTTAGCTAGCGCTTCATATGCGTAGTACATTTCTTCATTAGGTTTTATATTCATGGCATTTATATTCTTGGCTGTTATTTTATGCATGCTGGTATCAACATCACAACCGGGAACTACCTTCTTCAACCACCAACCATTTTAAAAACATCCAACTTATCTAAAGTTATTCTGCAACTTACTGTATGTATTTAGCATCCATAAAAAAGGACAGCGGACAAGTTTCTTGACGTTTTTAATAAGCCCCTTATAGTAAAAATAATACCAGTTAAGACTCTTATTGACTTAAATATTTTTTACCTCAAACCCAGCTTCAGGCAAACTGCGATAAAAAGTACCTATGAAAGAGAAAATTTCCCTACAAATTTAAATACTTCTCTTTTCTTCAAGAACCAGCGCCTGCGCTTGCTCCACCTTCCAGTCAGCATAACAGAAATTATAAGAGTAATTTCCTTTTGGGATTTATTCGCTTTATTCAGCGCTCTAGAAGTCGAAGAATCCGTACATTTTTAAAAATAACGAATATCGGGATTTAAAACTTTGATTCAATTTGCGGACCTAAAATCATAAAAAGACTTAGCTCAATGTTCCTTCAAATTCAAATCACTTACCCAATATTTTTAGAATTACATCTTCATTATCTTCCAAATCTGTAAAATTTGTTAAAGTTAATATCTTTAATAAGGGATATTTTTTGGGAACTACTTTTTTCAGAAATAACTAAATTAAAATTAGTTTGCCATTAAAATTTGGTTTCCAGGCATTACATTTCACATCATTGACTATAAAATGACTTTAAAATAATGATGAAAATTTAATTACACATGCATAGTTACTCGAATCTAGTCCAACCATTACGATGTAGTGCTAATTTATCCATTATATTTCTTATATATCTTACCCTATCGTGTGTATTCGGCAAGGGAGGTCGAGCAACTCCAGTTCCTGTGGGTCTGTTCCTGTTGGAGGTGGGATTGGACGAGGACGTGGAAGGCCTGGTCCCCTTTATGCTGGTCAGGGGCCTTGGAGCTGACTTTGCTGCTGGTTTTTCAGGCATTTTCAGGGCGCGTTTCAAAAGTTATATGAGACTACTGACAGTAAATTTCCACATGTTTCAATCACTAGTGAGCACCAACGAATGAATTTAATGTGGTCGCCCACTATATGCCTCGAAAATCGAATCAGATTCACATGAAGTCTTTCAGAATGCAAACGAATACCTGTCTGACTTTGAGTCTGACTTCCAGTCACAGGCCATAGGGCAGTCCACTCACTCGTCAGTCGTCACGGCAACTTGGCTGAAGTCTCATACTCGTAAATATACTTACAACACAGCAGCAGACGGATGACAATGATCTATTATTACTGCCCCTCAAGGGTAATAAGTAATTATTTGGGCTGAATCAAAAACATGCGTAACGAAGGATTTAGGGGAATGCATTTCAAAATAATTTATTATCGCTAGCTGTGGAAACATGTTTCGAAACTAGTTTCTTTTAATAAATAACTCGACTTATTTTGTGGAAACTCTAAGTTTGGTAAATGCATTGATTTTTTGCGTTGCGTTTTAAAATCATCTGCGATGTCTAGTGAATTGAAGGCCGGTGTAAATGGGCACTCATCATAAATGTCAGCGCCTGAAATTACGCATAAAGCATAAAGCCATATAAATGGGTCTACTTAGGGCACACTATGTTTATGTACTTGCCGGGAAAACTGACGCACTTGCATGAAATATGTCCGCGTCCAACCACATATATTTTTTATAAATTAATTTGCATAAATTATGCCATGTGAGCCAGTCCAAGATGAAGCTAGGCCAAGCGTTTGCTATTTATCAGGGCAGCGCCGCGCCGCGCGAATCCCTCTAAATGTCTGGCTCAAGGCTCCCAGCAACAATCACTCACTCACTCATTCATTCCATCATTCGGCGCCCATTCACTCCACGCCGCCACTCCGCCACTCGCAATTTGCATTTTTCGCACGGGCATTGTCCGTCCGCCCAGCAAGCCAGCCAACGGTACCCAACGGTACTCCGGGAAATTCCCATTGCCAACGCCCGGGGTGGGGTGGAAAAGCGGGCGGTGTGGGCGGGGGCGGCGGCAACAATGTTGATTGTCTGCTAAAGAGCATAAAGTCGTAATGGAGTGAAGCAGATAAACATAAAAATAGCATAGAATTGTGGGCACACAAAGGCGCAGGCGAACGGGAAATGCGAGGGGAGACGGGAAAGCCAACTCGCCGAATGGAAAATGCACGCGTACGCGCAAATGTTATGGCCAATCACTTTATTTCACTTGTTTTCAATTTTCCTCAGCGCCCAACTTTTTCACTTTTCAGCACTGCCAGTTTTTTGTTGCTGAAATCACGTAGGGGTCATGCTAATCAGAGTGTGCTGCCAATACACTGAAACAAGTTGCCAGCGAATACGCATTGCCTAAAAGTAGGTCGAAGGTACTTGAATAATTCCAAATAATTACAGTGTCTAACATGTTTGGAAACCCACAGGAAATCTTCTAAACAAAATGGGAGATCGTGGACCTTATTTTATAATTTTATTACCTAGGGCATGGAGCTTAAAAGAATGAATTTATAATGAATCTAGGTCAGATTTTGGGAAAATCGAATTATTGAATGCTTTCTGTGCGGTCATGTTCCGCTGTGTAATCCCCTATCATCACAGGATAACCACAAACCATCAAATAATTGAGTCATCAAATGTTTGGCACACCCTTTTAGCTCGGTTGTCTTTTGCAACGGTTTTGACAATTAGCCGAACTATAAAATGTTTAAGTTTGAACACCTGAAGAGAAGGAAAACGGTTTCCCAAATGCCAAAACACCGCCACCCACCCACACTAACGCAGACGGGGATACACGCATATATTTAAGCCAATTAGCATTTATGTGCGTCGCTGGCTGGCTGAGCAAAATGCGTTACATTTCATCAAAAGCACGACACTTTGTTTTAATTTGAGCAACCGCACGCACACAAACAAACAAGCAAACAGGGCAACACCTACGCACACACCCACACACCCACGCATACAGTGACATGCTCTGGTTTTCGGGCTCGTCACGGTTTACAGATTTCCGTTCCCAAAGGTCCTTGCACGGGATATAACATTGTTTTGGGCAATTCGCTCTTACTGTGATTAATTTAAATGCACCCCATTTCCCGTCCCTCCTGGCATTTTTATTCCCCGTCACGTGTTTGGGATTCATAAATATCCTGGAAGCTCCCGGGCCGCAATTTTAAATCGAAGTGTTCATAGGAGAACACGGGTTTTGCTTTCGGCCAGGGCGCAATTAGCTCCCAATGGCAGACAACGCCTAAAGTTGCCGTGCTAATGGGGAATACCCTTTTGATTGTTGGGATTAGCTGGGTTGCAAGGAACCGGAATCATCGTGCGTCTGGAATTAATGTGGGAATCGTAATCATATATGAATTTTATGGGCCAGAACAGCGAAGTGAAACGCGTCACACCAAACAGCCATAAACTATGATTCCAGTAACTAGTAAGGGGTATGCAAAGCAGGTTTTCTATTTTACATATTAATTATTCGTTGATACTCCTTTTTACTACTATGCACTGCATAAAATTAAGCATCAAAGTGAGGATAACTTATTGTAAATAAATGTATCTAATACATGTTTGATTTTGCATCTAATATATAATACTTGCATAGAAGAAGTGTAGGTTTGGTCGATCGCTCGTTGGCACTGATCGATAAAGTATGTTTTTATAGACTAAAGTATCTTAAACAATACTAAAAAGGGTAAACTTCGTTCAGTGAACTCATTACGATGCCATCTGCCGGGCAACTCAGTTCAGCCGATTCGAAAATCGTTGGTTGCTTTGTGCAAGCACTGAACTGCATTGGGCCGGGTTATCCAATCCGTTTTCTCACCTCAGGTGTAAATCAATTTAGTTTTTGGCCACTGGAAATCCATGCCGAGAAGGGGACGGGGGCTAGGTACATGTGCACATGTCCAGATAGCATTACCTATCTGTTTCGGAGTGTGCGTGTAGCGTTTGGGTTTCCAGAGTGCGTGCAGCTAGCTATATGATCATGCATCATAATCCAAAACCCAGGGCTCACACGCACTCCTCTCCTACGGACGCCCACACTCAGATACACATCAGTTGCTTTGTAATTAATTACTTCACACATTGACGCCAACCAGCTTCGGGTGCTGGTATTCCCAGCCACAACCGACAGACAACGACCTACACAAATGTAAAGTTTACTCTCTGATTCCGATGGTGCCGATGCACCGGGGGAAATTACTGATCCCATACTATGGTTAGCTTTCTTCAAAAATTCGAAAAATTCAAAAATTCGTAGTTGTTCGATACAGCGGATTGTGGCCATTAATTGCTGGTCTTACTAGACGTACTCGTACACTGTGTTTATAGTGTGTATTACAATTAGGGAAGTGCATAAAAACGCAAAGGATGTACGATCCTGAAGAATTCGCGGTTTTTACGTATCGTATGTGGAATGTGTGCATACATTTCTTTTGCAGCATACTTTTGTCCATTTAAAAGAGTGGAACTTCAGAAATCTAATGCGATTTGTTTTTGCCCTAAGAAGTTAGATTTTAGAAGTTAGAATTTAGATTTTACAGTTTGTTTTTCCGAGTGTGGGGCTGTAGCCTTTGTTGCTGTTGCCGGTCTTGCTAACTAATATTGTTACCAGCTTTTGGATAGTTAGCTGCATGTTTGGTTAGCTGCTCCTGCCGCTCCCCGCCGTTGTTCATATCGTAAATTATGTGCCATTTATGCGGCATTGGCTTGAAATGGAAATTTGTCCCATTTGTTGCTCGGCGAGACACTTGAGTATTCATATGGGATTGGAAGCCCCTGGCCCCTTGTTTGGCATTGATTTATGTGACCGAGTAAATTTGGCAAAATATTAAATGAAACGTTAAGCTCGAAATTATCTTTCCCGGCGAACTAGGCTTGACTTATAATAAGGGCAACTCGCTCTCAAGCCTGAGCGAATGGCTATGCCCTCAATTAGGCCAACAAAAGTTGGCTTGCAAATTGAGTTAGCTGCATTGCCGTGCATTCGAGTGGGTCCAAGAAACTATATAAAACAGCCCAGGAAGCGGCAGCTGTGTAAGGTGAGAGCGGTTTGTTTGCCATTTTAATGAGCCAGAGCGAAGCTGAAGTTGGAGAAAGAGCCTGATTACGGGGGAACTCGCAGCGCAAGTGGCTTAATTATGAGTTGGAATTAGTTTGGCTTAAACGCAGCGCACCCTATCACATTACGCGCTGCGCATGCGAGCTCTCTAATTAAACTTTCATGCCAAAAAGTTGCGCATTTGATTATGCAGCTGACCAATAAGTGCAATCATGTTGCAGCGGCCACGGCAATTAACTGATGGCGGTGAGGCGCGGGTGTCGGGTGTCGGGTGGCCGGCGAACAAACTGTTGGCTTAAACTCAAAAGCGGCAACAATTTATGCGGGCGGGCTGCGCGGCCAAAAAGAACAAAATTGCAAAGCAGCAACTAAAAAACCAAAAAACCAAAACCAAAACGACAACATAAACAACTCGCATATGAGCATTTGGCCAGTTGGCCAGTTGGCCAGTTGGCTGTCCCATCGCCACTTCACGTACATTGTGGCTACCACATTGCAACCGAAACAGCCAACAAATAGTGAACTTTTTCTGCAGCGGTCGGGAGAGCCCTCCACGTCCATGTCCGTGGTATGCAAACATTTTGAACAAATAGTTAACTAATATTTCGAATGATGTTGCTTTGCGCAAACCCTTTTCCGCACGGAAAAATATCTGTTCAATTTACAGCTATTCAGCTCGGACCCTGATTCGCCTTTCAGTTCTATTCAACACCTTTGTGTCCGAAAGGCTTACAATTCACATTTTCATGTAGCACAGGGGCAGCTACCTGCAAGTAAATTGCTTTTAAATTTATGAACAACACTTGCAATTAAGAAGGCCCGCTCTGATGATTCGACTTCTTTAAAAGGCCACCATGAATCTGCTCTTCTCCTCCGCGGCCAGCTGTCTTCAAATGTTCCACTAGAAGTATTTTCACACAGCAATTTTCAGACTGGCAGAAGTGCCGGGCGGCAGGAGCAGCATCAGGAGCAGCAGCAGCAGCAGCAGCCGCATCAGGAGAGGAAAAAAGGAAAACAAAATATTATGTAATTTTA